CCATCCATCCATCCATCCATCCATTCATCCCTGCATACAATGATCCATCCATCCATCCATCCATCCATCCATCCATATACATCCCTTCATTCATCCATCCACCCATTGCTCATACTTTCGTAATTCAGTCTAAGCCCAGACTTAGTCAGTGCTTTTTTATTGTGCTTTTAATGTGCTTTTTATTGTGTTTTAACTGTTGTTTTTATATCTGTGATCTGTTTTATTGTTTTTAATTATTTTTATTTATTGCTTTCTGTGAAGCACTTTGTGATGTTTGTGTCTGTGAAAGGTGCTATACAAATAAAATTTACTTACTTACTTACTTACTTGCTTCCTGTTCAAAAATATTTCTTATGCTTTTTCTGTAAATCCTAATTAATATTAATTATCGCCCATATCTTCTAGGGTTTCCACAGTTTCAGATGCACAGCTGTTCTGACCGTCTTACAACAGATTTAAATCTATATTCATAGCTTAACTAGTATCATTGTAGAATGTGTTGGAAAAGGTTCATTAAGTTTTTGAAATTGATTGAATCTCAGTCATGTTTGTGTCTGAAAATTACAAAGGACTTGCTTCTTTTAATAATTAGGTAAGTTTCTWATGGATATCCTGCCCCATTTTTCTAAAATCAACTGTCAATAATCCAATCATTTGTTTTTACAATTTGATTGTTGAAAATCTTAGTTGAACATCAGTACTGTCACATTTTGTCATTTTAGTGGTTATAATATTAAATTATTTAAAGACAAAATACCAGATGCCAGATGAAAAGAKGATTTTTATAATATTTATTAATTTGTGAGGAGGCAAAAAAGTTACAGATGATGAACGACTGTTAGTCTGTAATAAACTGACAATCAGAGTGGTAAATGCAAATGCATGAAACTGAAATTGTTTTTTAAAGTCTGTGTTTGAGGTTTAGAATTTGTTGCCAGGCTTAAACAGGTCATCCTCAGCAAAGAGTTTAGACACCAGGCTCTGCCCTGCAGTTGGTGGGGCACAGTTAGCTGAGGCTGTGTCTGGGAAGCTTTCGAATCCCAGGATGCCGGGTTCAGACACGCCTGGTATCTCGGGGTCAGGCCTGAGAATCAGAAGGGTGGGCCGCGGAGGGTCGACTGGGAAGATAGGCGAGGCAACCGGTTGGCCCAGGGCTCCGATCAKCTTCACCATGCCCTCTGGTTCGTCATGGTGTTCCTTTTCGTGCTCATGTGTGTGGTGATGGTGGTGATGCTCGTGCTCATGCAGGTGAGCGTGCCTGTGATCGTGGTCCAGAGCAATCTCGTGATCGTGCTCATGAGTGTGCACGCCCTCGGGATGAGTGTAATTATGGTGCTGGTTGGGAAAGTCGCCTTTGTGATTGGATGCCTGGGCATGATGAGCGTGCACGTGATCGTGGGTCGAATCAAGCCCGTGGTCGTGAGAGTGGTCATGGGCGTGCCTGTGGGCACTGCCTGGTTTGTGATCGTGTGTGTGGTGGTGATTGCTGCCTTCGGGGTGGCGTTCRTTATGATGAGAGTGGTCCTTGGTGTGGTCGTGAATGTGGTCGTGTGGGCCTGGTCCACTGTGTCCAAATCTGTGTCCATGGGTGTGGCCTAATGAGCATGTCTTATTCTGTCCTTTGCCATGGTCCTTTCCATGGTCCTTTCCATGTCCATGGTCATTTCCATGGTCATGTCCGTGTCTTCCGCAATTGTCATGTCCATGATTTTTGCCATGATGGTGTCCGTGGGCGTTTCCATGTCCATGGTTTTCACCAGGACCGTGTGTGTGTGAGTCATTGTGGCTGTGGTCAATTGCATCACCCAACAGGTGCAGTGCCTTCTCTCTCTCAGAAGCCTGTGGAAACACAAGGACAGAATTAACATATGTTATGTGGTGGATTAAACCAAGAATGACCTGCCTGGATTTATTAAACTAGAAATTATGCTTCGGAGTCTTACCTCGGGTTCATAAATCTCACATTTCACGCTGGTAATCGGCTCGCCATCAGGAACATGGTAGTGGGATGCCTTACAGAAGCCCAAGTGCTAAAGAAAGAAAGAAAAAAAAAAAACCAACAACAACAATCAGGAGAAGAAACGGATGTTTGTGGCTTTGGTTTTACAGGGATCCCCGATTAGTTGTAACATTAGACTTTATTTAATAAACATATAATTTAACTGTAAAATAAAGACTGTAAAAATACTATAGGATGTTCAGTTTTTATCTTTTTTAACTAAAAGTTTAAAAATATATTACACAGACGGGGCCATTTTATTTACACGCAAAGCACTGTGGGTAAATGATGACGTGGATAGGTCCTTGGTGCGAGGCTGCTAGCGAGCTATATCCA